ATTGAAATTGTTGTTGTTGTTGTTGTACTGCCTGTACACCAGAGTCCGATGTGAACTCTTTAATGCAGTCGTGGAAAGCTGCGTTTACGAAGTGGCAAGCCACGCTTCCAAACATCGGACACATTGCGCAAGCAGTTGTGGAGGAGGCAGCTGCGGATGAGTTCTACAGCAGCTCAGCTTTTCTGGCTTTGCAACAAAACTCGGGTATTGATTTGTCAATTTGTTCCGCCCACTCCCCAAATCAGGCAATCCCATGAACCGTTCAACCCCTCCCTGTCTCCACCCGCAAACGAAGGAATTCGTGTGAACATGTGTGAACCATTCAATTTACCGCCCCGCCCAAATTGATATGATCAATCATGCGCTGGTTTCTGGCCCGGGACTGCGTCCCTGCTAAACTTGCTAAAAGCAAGACTATACTCAAGCCTGCTGTGCGAGCTTTCGTGGTTTTTGAACATGAAACAGGCGGAAACATACACCCCTTGCTTTGCGTGTTCATCTGGTGTTCTGGTAGCTGAGATCTGCGAGACACAGGCTGAAACACTTTTAAACCGCGAAACAAGAGTCAGGTGGCGACTGACGCATACGGCACATCCACAATGTTCGACAGTTGTCCGATTGTCATAGTCACACAGCACAAAACTTATCCCCACCTGCAAGAGAAGGGGCAACCCCATAGCTCCCCAGACAACGCTGAGGACCACCAATGTCAAAAGCCTGAGTAGACAACGGCCCAATGGCTGCGGCTACAGATTTCATTCGACAGGAGGTTGACGGCAAGCTCATTCACGGCCCACAGCCCACAACTACGATACGACGGAAGGCCCATGGTGAGACTCCAAAGATGAGGTCTGAGTTTTGAGTAGACAAAATCTGACAGTTTCGAGGTTAGCAGTGAAAGTCTATGGTGCTTGGGCTCGTGCGCGAAGAGCACACTGCTGCTAGAGGCGATCATGTCATGGCTCGTGGTCGGAGCGGAGAAAACTCCTCCGATGCTGCCTCCTTTAGGGAGGATGTATGGGACATGAACTGACTTGCTGGACTGCTGCTGGGCATCATGCTGGCTGCTTCCGCCACAGCAGGCCATTGTGGATGGGGGCCGTGACGCCACAGCTTCATGCATATCCATAAGTAGAACAACCTCAGCACACTCTTTCGGGATACTGGTTTAGCAAGGGCGGTCCGAAGAGTGAACTCTGAAGGGAAAAATCTGCCACTTGCAAAAGCAAGTAAAGTATGACCGCCTGTTGCATAAGTATTGACCAGCGTCTGACTTTGTCGCAATTCCGCTACACTCCTGCGAGAGTGGCTTTGTGCATGATGTACCCTGATCACATTTCAGAACTCGGAGTCGGGCACCTGTATGTGTCCCTTCACTTCCAACACGCCCGCAAGCCCAAAGTCCGAGAAGCTAAGCAGAGCTAGACCCCTAGATCCCCGCCCCGACTTGACTTGTGCCGCACAACGCGCACGGAGCCATGGTGGCCCAGCCCAGGAGGTGACGAACTCCTCAAGAACGGGCACCGTCGTCTTTGTAGCTTGAAACATCAATGGAAATCGAAAATATCGAGGCGGAAGTGGGGTCAAAATTTCCTGCTGTCGCACTGACTCCAAGCACTGCGCACAAGGTTCAGAATTGCAAAGTCCGGGAGCGTGTACAATTCACCCTGCGCAAGCTCTACACCCTGCATGGCTTTTGACTTGAGCTGAAACCAGCACGACGAGACAGCTTACAGTGTGTTAAAAAGGCACATCTCCACCGAGATGCTACGAGCTTTCGTCAGTGGAAGGACTATCCACACGGTGCGGCAGCTAAATAACAACAACATCCACGATGAGAAGGCAGCTGAAAGGAAAAAATGAGCAAGAAGCAGCAAACAAGGCGCAGCACAACATTTCCTAAGATCCACAATAGAACACGACCAAGTCTCAGACACTTGGTGACTCCTCCAATTTATTGTTCAGAAGCCGTTGCATTTAAGGAACGTTGGCACATCTACACGGTTGCACCAGGCAATCTTGGAAGTTAAACTCCTGCATAGCGGATACGGCATGTCCTGCTCCGTGCACGTTGTACGTAGTAGTACTGTAGCCAGCGAAGCCGTGTATATTGCAAAAGTTTACAAGCTTCGAAACTCAACTGTGCAAGGCGCCACAAACAACAGCGTGCAGGCCGTGAATGTTGTTCTCCGACAAGTCATTCCTGAGTCTCAAGCTGCTGAAAGTCTTCAGTAATTAGTGCTTGATTTCCGCGCCAACACATCTGTCGTTGGCATTTGTGCACCAGGGCTTCGAATCTGTCCGTTGCATCCAGCCCTTTGGGGTCATCTCTAATTTACAGAGCCTGTGTGACCATCATCAGCGCTCGTGCCGTCATCTCTATTGCCATCATGCTTGAAGCTGCTAGAATGCCTCTTCACCATCGTTTTGGGATTCCCCGATTTCAGCCTCGAAGCATGCCGGTCTTCGTAAAGGTTGTCAATTTCCGGAGCATGACAACTGAGTGCCGTAGCCAACATCCGTTCAAGAGCCAGCAAATTCCACTTCAGTACTGAAAGGCTCCTGATGCCAGCTTTTCGTCGCAAATACATTTCGAAGGCCGACGACGTGGGCATTATCTCGTCTCGTCACAAACATGATAATAAGATCACATCGAAGTGTCCGATACCGTTCTCCTACTCTGCTGCGTAGAGAGTGGCCAAAATCGAGCACTAGTGCTGCAAGCATGTGTAGGCCGTCGTCGTACCCTGATAAAAACATCTTGCGTCGATCCAGTCTTTGTGACTTTGACATAATCCTTGGAAGTTTAGGAGGGTGGGGCTAACATGAAGCTTCCAAGCTGCACGAAGTCTGGGATGGCACGGAACCTGAGCTGCACACTTGAGTCCGAGCCTGGTGCCCTAAACCACGAACACCAGAGGGATGAGACTTTCGCTGCTGGCTTCTATACTCGAAAACCGATTCGCGTTGACTTTGGGCTTCATGGTCCGGGCTTATTCGGCCCCCGTCTAGCTGCACGGGCGTGCAGCTACTCAAAGTCGACAGCTACTCAGGATCTGGAGGCGTCAGTGCGCACCCTCGAACAATCCGCGCAAGGCGTGAGGGGTCTTGGTAGCGACGGGGTCGCAGCGCTGGGGCACTTTCACGCGCGACAAAGTCCAAACAGTCCAAGGCTCCTCACACACTCGCGGAAGAGTAAAGTCAAGTCCGAGGCGCAGGAACGGAGTCTGTGTGCTCATGAAGGTATACCTGCGCTGAGCAGCTCTAAGTCCGGGCATAGCTGAAGGATTGGGCACTTCACACAAAGGAGGGATCCGGAAAAATGTACGAAAACGAAGCTTCAGGTGCGAGAAGAACCGTAGCGGCACGGCGCTGCTTCCCCATGCATGTAAGATGCTACCCGCAAGCTGGCTCCTCACCGTCTGGCTAAACCTTGGCTACTGTCCACCTAGCAGCTGGGCGTTACAGGACAGAGTTAATGAAAATCAAACAGAAACCAATCGCTATCTCAGTTTTACATCAATTTAGGTCATAACGACTTCGTGCTGCATGCATGCTGCTGGCAACAGACCAGGCACAAGTCCAAGGACCGATCTTCTGGGTCTTCATCCTTGCCGTGCCACTTCGCCAGAGTCTGGTAGACCAGCTCTCGGTCACAGCGAATGATAGCACCAGTGTGTGAGTGCCGATGATTCTTCGAGCAGCAAGAACATTCCGTGCGATGTATGTTGAACTGCCCAAGCTGCGCAGTGAGCTTGTTGAGATTATGGCTCAAATGCATTCCAGCGCGCGACTGCAAGGGGAATGTGACGACAAATGCCACAGCAAGAGCTGCGCTAACGAGCATTGTCCGGTTAGCTTCTGTGCCAATCAACTTGTGCCACATCAGATAAAGGCACGTGCGAGCCAGGAACCACCATGAGCAGTGCAAGAGCAGAAGCAATGGCATCGTTACAGGCACGATGGAGACGGCTCCCGGACTTGGATTCGCTCGAAGAAAGGCCGCGACTTCGTAGATGCACCACAAACCTTGCTTGCTCTGCGGGTGTACTTGTGTGTGTGCGCAGTGGCCTACGCCGATTGTAGACATTGTAGAATGTGAGCTAAAGACAACATGCATGCTGAAGCCAAAATCCGGGACACGCCTGAAGTAGCGTTCTGACCAGAGGATAACGAGTTTCTGCGAGACTCTCAGGTATCCTGCCAGGCCCAGGATGCACTCGTCCTTGAGGTTCTCATCGTCTTGTGGAATGCACAGCTTGTCCAGAAATGCAACTTGGGGCTTGAGAAAGACGTCTCGAATATTCTGCCAGAAAAAGAATACCACGATAAAGTTCAAGAACCCTATGGCAAAGGCGAAGTCACTGTCTGGAACGAGCTCACAGGAAATCCTGGGTCTAACTTCCGAGCAAAGCATGCGACAGGGTCAGGTCAGGGCTGCCTCAGAACAGCAGATAGGCAAATCCAAGAAACAGGATACCACCCAGCAAGCTCACCAGGAATGTGGACACAGCCGCCGCCTACAATCAATTTGCACAAGCTAGTCGGGTGCCGGGTCCAAGGTGCCGACTCTTGCAGATTCTTCAATTACATTCCGTAGTGCTTCGATGTGCGATGCCGCTTGCATCCCGGGAAAGTCTTGGAAATTGCATACACAGGGCCAGGACTTCATCGGGCAAGCTGTCAAGCTGTGAAAGCTTACACCCAGTATCTCCGTGTAGCTAGGATGGTGTATACGTGTTTCTTAGGTTCAAAGTCGTCCTGTGCGTTGTAGAGGACGAGCAGAGACAAGAACTTCAGCGCTCGAGACGTCTTCCAGTCGTGGCTGATGAAGGCAGCGTACCGGGAGCACGGCCTTGCCAAACCTGGAGATATACATACAGTCTGGACTTTCTAGAGGTGCAGACTTAAACAAAACAACCCAGAGGAAAGGAAGGTGAACGCCGGTTTGAGGCAGCAGGCCTTTAAAATAAACCTCGGCTCATGTCAGCTCTGCAAGTAGTCGGCCATGTTTCTGTCTACTCTGCTTGCAACGCTGCCAGGATAATTTCGTAGGATGCCAATGTAGGAATACCAGATAGCAAAGCAAGACGAAGCCGCTACCTAGCAGTCCAAAGCCAACACAGCCCAGAATCATTCCAAGCAGCCGTGACCAAGACAAGATGTGGGAACATGCTCCGCGACGTCGCGGGAACACCAGACAAACCCCATCAGAATATGCGGCACGGGGACGACAGCACGATTTTAGGAGATGACTCCAAGCCAATATGCACTGTGGGACGTGGAGCACTATGGTCGCAGGACGGCTTCGGATCTCAACTCCACAACCAGCAGGCCCTGCTAGGCTAGGGCTTTAGCGACCTTGCGTGCGCTGCAGGCTATGTGCATATCAAAGCACCCGCGGGCCTGTGGCGAGAGCACGATACATGAAGTTCGGGAGGGCTAGAGTCTTGGTCCCGCAGGACGGGACCACCACGGGACCGTGGAAAGAGGGTGTTTGTAGTCGACAATGTGCACCACGCCACATGGGAGCATCGCGGCATCACTGATCACATCGCACTGTTCTTGACATAGAAACCGATAAAACTACGACACTGGTTGTGCAAATCACAAGACTGCGAGCATCACTCTACCCTGTGTTTAGGCAAAAAGCTTTGTCACATCTTGCACTCTTATCTTCGCAAATCGAGATCGTTCGTCTGCTTCTAACACTTCTCGTATTTTGACCTTTGGTGTTGCTTGCTGTCGGGCCTTCCAAAACCGAAACCAGCAGTCGATTGACCATGAAGCTCTAGATTCCAGGGCCCTGAAGTCTTCCCAAATGTAAACATACTCTCAGTGGCTCGACACGTCACCGTCAGCTTTGGATACCTGGGGTCGATCATGGTCGAGGGAAAGGAACTAGGCTTCTTTCGACTCGCACACTCGCGCAAGGCAGGCACGGCTTCCAGACAAGTCCGAAACTACGGCATCTCACCACACGGCTGAGTGCGAGTCCCGACAAACAGCAACATCCCCACAAGTATAACAGTAAGGTAAAGCTAAGAACCAAAGACCATGAACCACCCAAGGCCGGTTTCCGCCGCTACAAAGCAAGCTCTATGTCGAGGCCCCGAAAAGCCAACTTGCTTCAAGCCGTTTTCACAAGCCTCCCCCCCCATCCAAAATCTGCGCACCTCGGAAGAGGCAAAGTGTCGGCCGGCCCCACGCAGGAGATATCGGACAGGAACTCCTCGAATGAGCTTCTAGCCGCGAGAAGGTGGTGCTACTAGCGTGACAAGTGCTGACGATGAGAGATGACTATACAGGACAAACATGAAGATGACGAATGTTCTGCCGCACTGATCCCTGGAGCGTCGCGCCGCGCCGACGACTTCTGACCTAATTGCAATGTGTGACCTTGCATGGCCTTTGGTTCGGTACGCGGCAAGCAAAGCAACAAACTGGCGTACGTAGTTTCTATTGGGTCACTACGCCAGACACAGGGTACTCACGTTCTGTTACCGGTACGCGGTGGCTCGAACGAAACACAACACGGGGCCTGCTTATTTGGTGTTCAGCACGCGCTGCTCTGTAAAATGCAACCAGCACTGGAAAAGCTGCAAGTACTGCAAGTTCCCCTGTAGAAATTATACGAATGTTGCCAAGCTGGCATGTGGACACCTGCAACAGTACACACATACATGCATGTGTGTTATATATATATATATATATATGCTACCCCCCCCCCTCAGGACCTACCTCNNTTGTACTGTCTAGACGACGTTACGACTCCTCTCCGAACCAAAGTGTTGTATTGCGTAGTCTTCCCCGTCTACGACGACACAACACCGTTCGAACCAAGACAATACCGCGAAGTATTCCAATGCCCTCTGTATGCTACGCTTTTAAACGGCGCGCTCCTCCTGATGTTCCTGCTTAAAACCGTGATCTATAGGGTATCCTATAAGATACTGTAAATAGTATCTTAGAAGGTATTCTAGAGGATATTCTATGAGGTTTAGTTCAGGTATAATTGCGCAGGATATATTACATAGGCGGTCTTCTGTAAGGACAGTTTCTATAGGGGATTTTATGAGTTATTCTATATGGTACTCCATAAGGTATAGTGTATTCTATGTGAAAATGATAAGGTGCATAGA